GTGCGTGTGCGCGAATGTGAGTGCGCGGCTCCCCTTCCCGGCATTCCTCCGCAGCCGGGACAACGTGGTGCCTCCCCGCGCGGGGAGCGGCATGTGACCGCCGGCCGGCGCTCCTCGCGCCCTCCCTCTCCCTGCTCGGATTTTCGGTCCTGTGGACCCGGTCCCTTGGGAGATCCCAGCGGAGCCGTGTCAGCGTGGGGGAAAGGCGGTGAGGAATATGGAGGCTCGTCTCGGCCTCCCTTTGCCGAGACTAGATCGTCGGTTGGGTGGGGGGCGCGCCCTGCCGCCTTCCTTGGCCGGCGCGTAGAGGCACAGCGGCTCTGTTCTCGGTCTTTTCTAAGTGGACCAGTATCAAAACCCGCTTGTAGCTAGAATGTTGGGCCTGTGGCCGTAGCCCTAGTGCTTTTAGCAAAACTCCCCTTCTGCAGTCGCTGGTTGAGACTGACTGGTTTAAACCATCAAAATGGGGAAAGTTGAAGAGGGAGCTTAATGTCTTCCCATTCGAGGGATTAGGATCACTCGTAGTCCAAGGGAAACCAGAACAGCCAATTCTGGAAATAGCATGTTGCAATTTTTATTTCTTTTAAGGTTGCTTCATTTGGAGGAGGGGACTTTTGGGGTTTACTAATAATACCTCAGACCGTGTTCTCTTCCTTCTGCCCTCTCCCCTTCCCCCCTTTCCCTTCCAGAACCCTCTTATGCAAAGGGCAGTGCTGAAACCTCCATTTTCTTGCATATCCCTCCTGATCCACCCACAGAGGGAGGGAAAGCAACTTTAAGACACTCTTTGGTCCTTCCCCCCTCTTTAAACTCAAAGGGGTATAATCATCCCCAAGAGAGAGCACTTCTCAGAAGTTTAAATGGGGCTACTCATGCTGCTGCTGCTGCTTAGCTAATGGTGAACCTGCCTTGTGGGTTTTAAATCAGCCATGACATCAGGTGGTATTGGGTGCCTGAGCTGGCGTTTTGTGCAAGTGCAGGGGCCCTTGATAGGGTGTGTCACTGGGGTTATTGATCGTGGGAAGAAGACAGCTTGGCTGGCATCTCACCTTCCCTGGAATGGAGAAGCCAGCTTGCTTTAAGTGCCCAAAGCAAAATTCTGAGTCTGGTAGTTTTGCTCTGTTCTTGTTTTTCTGGACTCTTAAGGCAAGAAAGTGTCTTGTCTACTCACTGGTTTTTGAACCTTTAGACTAGTTTTTGACAGACTAACTCTGAATTAATCCAGTAGTTTCTCTGTTTAAGTCTGTTGTTAGGGCTTGGATGCTTTTCGAGGGAGAATTCTGTGAATTGTCTGTCTGGTAAGGTTGAGATAGTGGCCCTTTTTTGGAGAGTCTACATGGACTGCTAAGGCCGTTTTTCAGCCCTGATTTTATTTGCAGCTTGGACAGGTTTAAATGTGACATCAATGGAGTGGCAGTGTGGTCTTGGGAATTTTTGTGTTCTGTGATGCATATGTTTTTGGGAGTCTACAGAAATGAGTGCCTCATAAGCAAGCTAAAAGCTTTCCAGAGTTTGCTGCAAATGCCTATTTTTAGCCTTCCTTTTGGCTCTGATGCTAGTGGCTTAGTGCTTTAAGGGACACATGCAGTAACTAGTAATAAAAGGTATTTTTCTATATCCCCCCCCATTTTTGTGGGGTTCTCTATTCTGGTTTAAGCTTCCACATCTTAACATTGGTAGTTTTTATTTTAAGTCAGGATTTGCATTTGGCTTTTTGTATATCCCTCCCCTAGAATATTTTGAAGACTTTTACATTTTTTTCCTTATTCTAGCCACAATTCTTGTGAGTATGAGAGAAGCAGGATGGGAAACCTTCTGGGGTTAAAACTGCATTGACTCAAATGCCAGCCCTACCACTTGCTAGTTGTGCCTCCTTGGGCAAGTTACTTACCCATTCTTTGTCTCAGCTTCTCCATTTGTATAATAGGGATTAAATTATGATTTATCTGCTTATGGGGTTGTTGTGAGCATTCATTGTGGTGATAGCCCAGTGCCTGGCATGTGGTAGCTGTTCTCCCAGTCTGGGAGACTGTGGGACTTTCCAGGACTTTTTCTGGGTCTTCTTTTTCTCCACCTGTATGATGAGGGGGGTAGAGAATGCAGTACTTTCCTTTTCTGGTATTGTGTCAGTACTCCATGAAATATATGGGATCCATCTCCTTAAAAATGGAGTTTTGCTTATCCACAGACTGGAAGGGCATATTGTGTATAATCTTAAAGGTTGCTGACCCAAGGAATTGGCTATTTTTGCTTTGGAATGTGGTATGATGAATGTTTTAAAAATAAATTTTAATTTGTTTATTTGTGTTTTATAAAAACTACCTTTGGTAGAGTGCACATGTGCTCTCAGGGCTGTGGGGAAAGACCATAACTGAACTAAGTTTGCTGTGGCTAGTGCACGTGCAGTGGGTTGAGATCTGAGAATGTATCATCACCACAAGCTTCTGCCCACCCCAGCAGGGGGAATCAGTGGGTTGGTTGTGTGGGACTTCTAACTTCACGTAAGAAGAAAATAAAGCAGTGGTGTAGTCTCCTTGACTTTATTTTTTTTTAAAAGACTTTTTAAATTTATTTTTCGGGGGGAGGCACAAGCAGGGGGAACAGCAGGCAGAGGGAGGAGCAGGGAGCCTGACGTGGGGCTCCATCCCAGGATCCTGGGATCATGAACTGAGCCGAAGGCAGACGCTTAACCCACTGAGCCACCCAGGCGTCCTAGTGTTCTTGACTTTAAAGGGAAATCTGGCCAGGATCTCAGACTTGAGCATTTGTGTTCTGGGCATCACTTTTTTGTGTTCTTTTGAAGTGCAGCTAACTGATGGCACAAAATAAAGAAGAGGTAAAAATCTCAGCTAACCCAGGGCAATCCCAGGGATCCTCCACCCCACTGAACTGGCCCCAAATAAATCTCTACTCTCTTTCTCTACTTTCCTTCCTAGGTTTAGGCCCTTTCCCAGGCTCCTCCCAGTTGCACTAGGGTGGGACATCTGTATGGATCTGGGGTATCAGTTTTCAGTCTAGCATCAGAGCTACATCCGACTCTTGCCTTTTCCTTCCCCACCATAAGTGGACTGTGGAAGCAACAGCCCTGCCTTGGAATCCTACAGTCTGCAGTTTTGAGTCCCAGCTTTACTGCTTTTGCTGCTACTGCTGCTTTTTTTTTTTTTTTAATTGAGGTAAAATTGACTATTAGTTTGAGATCTGCAACGTGATGTTTCAATATTTGTATATATTGAGCTTTGCTTCTAACTTGCTGTTCAGTCTTGGGTGAATTACTCAGCCTCTCTGATCCACCATTTTTTCATCCTCAAAATGAGAATAATGATAGTTACTATTTTTTTTATTTTTATTTTATTTTTTTAATTTAATTTTATTTTTTTAAAAAGATTTTATTTATTTATTTGACAGAGACGCAGCGAGAGAGGGAACACAAGCAGGGGGAGTGCGAGAGGGAGAAGCAGGCTTCCCGCCGAGTAGGGAGCCTGATGTGGGGCTCGATCCCAGGACCCGGGGATCATGACCTGAGCCGAAGGCAGATGCTTAATGACTGAGCCACACAGGCGCCCCTTTCCCTTAAGATTTTAGAAGACTTCACAAAACATTTCTTTATTCATATCTCACAAGTGCCCTTGAGGTGGGTGGTAGTTGGCCCCCTCTTAAGGAGAAATTCCTTCTCCATAGGCATATGGTGATTAAGGGACCTACCCAGGGTCAGAGTTAAAAACTGGTAAAGCCAGTCTGTTCTTTTTCCCTTTAAATCACAACTAATAAAATATAAGCATCAGTCTTCCTATTAAGTAAGATACTGCAAGGGAGGCACTTAGCAAAGTGATGGTTCATACTAAGGGCTCAGTAGTAGCTCCAGAAACATTTTTTTAAAAGATCCTTGACTCCATCCATCTTTCCAGGAGCCGTGAGCACAGCAGTTTGTCCTCTGAGCTGGAGGCCCTCTTTCTAGGTGTGGGGAAGGAGCACGAGGGCAGCAGCGGCCTAGGAATGCAGGACCGCTGGCTAGGAGTGGACAGGCTGCTCAAGCTCCCCATTAGCTGCTGCTGGGCTTGGAGTTGCTCTGGAATGTTCTCTCATTCTAGGCCTTCTCTGTCCCACCCCCTGATTTGCATCATCACTGCCACTGCTCCTCTGAAGTGGCAGCTCTTTTGAGATCCTCGAGGAAGGCCATGATCCAAAGGGGCTTTGGAAGCCATCTGGTTACTTCTCATTTTATAGAAAACAGGCCGTCTCTTGGCCAGTCTCCCACATGGCACTAAGGGAATCATGATACCTGTGCTGGGTCTCTCTTCATTCTGCTTTGTTCTTTCAAGGAAAGAAAAACGGGAGCCTCTTTGCATGGTCGGTGCTGCAGGAGTGTAGATTAGAGGACTAGGTCTGGCAGCACCAGCCCCCAAGGCTGATCTCATATGTGCTGTCATTCCTGGTCCTCCAGACAACAAGCCTTCAGCTCTCTTCTCTCCCCGACATGGGCCAGCTGTTGACACACCCTGAGCCCTCAGAAGGCCAGGAAAGCCTGCCCAAATGGAGCAGGTGTTGCCCAGAAATGCTCTATATTTCCTGAGAACAGGTCCACCCTTCTACTCTGCCTTGCTGATGAGCTCTTTAAGATAGAGCATAAAGCATGGTTCTGGGAAGACTGGGGGCACTGAACAAGCATCCAGGACTAAGTACCTAATAGGAGGCTCACCTCAGAAACTGAGCTTGGGGAGGGGTGGAAAAATTTGTCAGCGGCCTTTTTAAAGAAAATCAATTCTGCAGTGACTTATTGAATTCATAGGGGCATTCCTTTATGAAAAATAAAAAAAAAACTATAGAGTTGTACAGGCATGCTTTGTAATTAGACAAACCAGTGATGAAGCCTGCTCAGATACAGAGTACCTCTAAAGTTCCAGAATAATAGCTAACAACTATTTAATGCTAACTATGTGCTAGGCATTTTTCTAAGCACTTTACAAATAGCAACTCAGTCCTTATAGTCCCATTAGGTTAGAAACTATTCCCATTTACAGAAACCCGGAGTCACCAAGGTAGAAGAGCTGTTGGAGCCCAGGCTCTTAACCATTGTACCACCCTGATGCTGGGGGTGAGGTGGGCAGTTTTCCTGACTCCCTGCCTGGTGCTCTTTCCACAGAAGCACTGGTCCCATAATTCTCACTTGTGTTTCTGCATTTTGTTCTTCCTGGGACTTGCATTGATTCC